CAATGAAATTGGTAGAATCTCACGGTGACCACATTCAACGCTCGCGTTCAGCAATGTCTCTGTTCGGTCTGACCTTTGGAGCTAGAAGGAAGGCCTAATGTCACAATAATGTCTACTTACTGACTCTCTCAATAAATGATTAAGCAAAGAGACTCTACCTCTAATTTATAGTACTTTCACTTCCGGGGGCAGCAATCACTCTCTTTTCGTATAGATGCATCCATCTCGACATAAGTGTTACCACATTTATGGCCATTGAACGCCATCTACTTATCCTTATTAAAGTATTCTTGAATCTCACCTAGTAGGTGTAGACGCTACTAGGGGTAATGTAAACTGTCGCTCCACTCTTGTCTCAATTAGCACAACAAATGACACTATCATCCTAGTCATGATCAATACTTCAATCGTCATCGGCTCCATCATCCGTCGAGATCCCTCTTCTCGTCGTGATGCTAACATCTTGAGATCGGCCAAGACTTAGTAGAACCACCGATCAAAGGAGTGCCTCACTCCTCAACCATAGAATTCAGCACACCGCCACACCACTGTTCTACTTTACTCGAATCTGAGACTGAGTCAGCGGATTCGATAGATTGCTCCCTCAACAACATCAATCTCCCATCGTTAGAGGCTTTTGATAACAACATCAACTTGATAGAGCATATTGCCACCTTTCGCATCTAGATATCGTTGTTGGGCACCTTGGATGCACCGATGTGTCGTGCCCTTTCGACAACACTAAGAGACCCAATTCGAGAATGGTATACCCGCTTTGAAGTCGTTCTTAGTCAACTCCTTTTTTAGATTGCAAAAGAGTTTGAGCTCTATTTTCTTGAAAATATGCATTCGAGACCATAAGTAGAAATGCTTCTCAAACTCAAGTAAAGGAAAGGGGTAACACTCTATTAACTTTGTCACCAGATTTATAACAAGATCCAAGGCGTGCAAGAGGTTCATCCGTTACTTGTGACATAGGCTTTCATGATGGGAATCAACTCTCTTGCTTTTTTTAGTCATCGGTGGAGAGACCACTAAAAACAATACTCGAGATACTCTAGAAAGCCAATCAATTCATTGTTATAGAGACAATGATCTCGAATAAGCGTAAGAAGATGCGTAAAAAGTCGAGGCAGGAGCGACTGTCATTAATCCTGACCTCGAGGTCACCACAGTGAAGGAGAAATTATCAACCCGAGTTGCCTTACCCGAGACCTAAGTCGACTCCATTGAACATGATTAGAACTGAAGTCTTTCTACAAATAAAAAAAAAAAACTCTTAAAGGATCCTATGTTAATCTCGGATTTTGATGATGAAACCAATTTATAAGTGATTATAATTTGATCTAGAGAGTCAATCAATTCATTGTTATAGAGACAATGATCTCGAATAAGGGTAAGAAGATGCGTAAAAAGTCGAAGCAGGAGTGACTGTTATTAATCCTGACCTCGAGGTCACCACAGTGAAGGAGAAATTATCAACCCGATTTGCCTTACCCGAGACCTAAGTCGACTCCATTGAACATGATTAGAATTGAAGTCTTTCTACAAATTTAAAAAAAAAACTCTTAAAGGATCCTATGTTAATCTCGGATTTTGATGATGAAACCAATTTATATGTGATTATGATTTGATCTATGTTTTGAGTGACGTTGGATGCTTCGATCAGGATGAGATAATTAAAGCAGGAAAAATCATGTTGGGCCGAAGGAAAACATGTCAAAAGATTGGACATCGGGCTGGAGGATCGGTCGACATATCGACAGAAGGCTTCAGGCCATGGATTCGGACATCGGGCCAAGAAGAGCGGATATTGCGCCAAGGATACCGGAGTTACAGAATCAACTGGCTGATTGGGTAATAGGCCGCAAGAGAGGACGATGCACCGAAGAATCAGACGAAGAGTCGAGGGACCAATGACATGCTGGATGATATGATTAATACTTAGTATTAATTGTCTAGATCGAAGTATGTTTTACATGTGCAGGATTAACTACGATAGCAAGGTATAAAGCAAAATGAAGTCCCGGAGTCAAGGACGCGATTTCGTTGGGAGTTCAAGAGATCGTCGGAAGTCCGAATGTTCGTCGGAAGTTCTGTCAGAACCAACCGAGAAGTCTCGAAGCTTGCCAAAGAAGCTCGTCGGAACTCGCCAAGAAGATTATCGTGAAGTCTAGAAGCTTGCCAGGAGTCCGCTAGAAAATTGCCGAGAGATCGTCGGAAGTTTGCCGAAAGATCGTCGGAAGAAACTAAGACTTACGAACTTGTTTAGCTTAAGTATGTCTTAGATTTCGTAGTTAGCACATAATTATGTTTGGAATTGGGCCAACTCAATTATGGGCTAGTTGGGCCTATGTAAGAACTGTGTTTGGCCCAATGAAAAGGTCCCAACAGTGCCCCAAGAGATGACACCGTCGTAGCATAGTCTCCGAGACTGTGTTAGTTGATAGTACCGTCGGTCTGAACGATGGTACCGCCTAGATAGCCTCCAAGAGGCTACAGGCGGTGGTACTACTAGTCTAGGTGGTGGTACCGCCCAATGTCAGGCGATGGTACTGCCTAGTGTCAAGCGATGGTACCGCCCAGTGCAGTGTCAATGTCAAACTGACACTGGGGCGGTGGTACCGCCTAGCACAAGTGGTGGTACCGCTCGGACCTAGGAAACCCAGGATGAGATGTTTTTAGGCTCCAAGTTTGAATCAACTTGAAGCCTATAAATATCTCTCTCATCCCTGGTTAAAACACACAAGCATTGAGTATTTAAAAGTGAGAAAATGCTGTTGCAATCACTACAGAAATCCCCTCCTATAGTCTAAGTTTAAAATTCTATTTACGAGGAGTGTGTGCTTGTAAGGGTTGTCTCCTAAACCCGGTAAAAGGAGAAGAAGAGTGTAAGAAGGAGGTTGATCTTCGCCTATTAAAGGAAGATTGATAGTGGATGCCGATAACCTCGACGGAAGAGGAATCGGAGGAGTGGATGTAGGCCACAACGACCAAACCACTATAAAATTGGCGTGTTCTTCTCTGGTTTGCATTTCTATATTTGAGCAATTTACATTACTGTAAACTGAATCTTTACTTGCCTACTGCATTCACTTTATATACGAACGAGATTTCAAGCTATCTTTCTGAGTTCGATTTTTAATGTACAAAAGAGTTTTATGAAACCGATGTAATTTACCGTTGCACTAATTCACCCCCCCCTTAGTGCCGACTTGTTCTTAACATCCTCAATCGATGAGGATACTATCGAAGAGAAGAGATAAATTCAAATATTATTGCTTCCACCATGATTATAGACATGACACGGAGGACTACCATAATTTAAAGGAACAAAGCAAAGAATTTATCCATCGAGGACACCTTGAGCAATTCGTCTAGAGACATCGAGAACTTTCCCCCTAACCTAAGGGACTAGTGGAGTGATAATCAATGCCATCGATGAACCTATCTTGGGGGAGACAAATTTTCAAGTCATAAAGTTTATGCCTGAACTATCATTAAGAAACGTCTAAAATTAAAAGACAACCCGAAAATAATTTTCAAGGGAGAAGAGATACAGTATCTCGATCCAATGATAGCAAGTAGTCTAATTAATACTTAAGTGAAGAAAATCATACTCGACACAAATAACTCTATTGATATTATATACTTAAACACTTTTTAAAACCTTCGACTACGTAACGTGAGAGGAGGAACTCGTGCTATTTCCAAAGCCTCCTTAGCATTATCCTTTTTCCTTTTATCTTTATTATTATTATTATTTATTAAAAAAAATAAGATTTTTGAATGTCACACGAATGAATAGTAAAACATGTTCAGGAATATTCGATGGTATTTTAAAGTTTCAGTTGTTCAAAGTATGCAAATACAGCTAATTTTTTACTGTTGAGATCGGAAATTTTGGTGAAACACAGAGTTCTTTCCTAGTCTTCTAATATAATGACAATATAATGCTCATATTGTTGGTTTTAATAACCAAGATCTGTGCTAGTTAACGAATTTTATCGGTATATATTCCAGGATAAACATGTAATAAAAAATAATAATAAAAATCTAAATAAGTAACATGAAAGCATATGGATAAATATCCGGGATTAACAAATTTTCAAGTCTCTAAAGATTTTATATCTACTCTTTTCGTGTTGTGCCAAAATCCACAACAATTATCAAGTCGGTATATTGTCACGATTTAACACTAGAAAATAAGAAAAAGGAAAGAAAATATACATTAATATTATATTGTCGGGCGTTGAAAAATCATTTTTTTTTTGGAAAGAAAACAACGCCCGACAATATACGATTTAACACTAGAAGCATATGGTTCTTGGAAAAATAACAAAGCAAGTCGAAAGAAGGCAAAATAAGAAAAAGGAAAGAATAACAATTATCAAGATTAATAAAAGCCATTGACTGCTCATCAAAGTTAAAGAAGAAAGAAATCATAAGGTAAAAGAGTAAATAGAACCTGTGCAAACACAAAACTGCATTTTCCTAACCTACAATTTTAATGTAGCGTAAGGAAAAATCAATGCACCGTTCATTGTTTATATAAACTAAATCACCAAGAAATGGAGTGAATAGGTCTTTGGCAGATGCAGAATAAATTATTTGCAGATTAAAGAAGCCTTTAAATCCAGATCATTAGAATATCTGAATCGATCTAACGATCTAACTAAAAAAACAAAACTCTTGACAGCCAAAACCAATTGCATTCCTTCGAATTCACCCATCGGAGCCTAAAAAAGCTGAAGATCTAACATTGGATGACATCCATACATCACAATTCTTCAGATTCACTTCGGCAAAAGAGTGTTCTCAGATGTGGACAGGGGAGCGTTCAACAGTTAAAGACAACATAAAGCTCATCAATAAAAGATAAACAAGAATGGCTACACGTCCATGCTCACCAGCACCAATTTTCTCGACGAGATGTAAAAGAAAATAAAAAACAACACAACACGATCGGATCAAATCACTGCATCAAACACGATTCCGGATAACTTCTAATCCCTATTGCTTCTCATTTTATTGACTAAATTAGATGTAACCTACATTGTTGAGTTTTTACCCCAACAAAGAATGTATTTGACAAATAATTCACAATGCTTGGGTGATGACTTCAAGTTATAACGAGGATAGCCAATTGAGTAGAGCTTCGTTCACGAGCTCAGGGACTTCATCATGCGGACAATGCCCTGCCTGCAAATTGACAACGGTGGTGTTTGGATAGAACTCTTTGATTCTAGCTGCCTTGGCAGGCTCAACCCAAGGGTCTAAGTCACCCCATATCAGCAACAATGGGCACAAGAGTTTGCTAAGGACGCTGTTAAGCGTGTACTTGCTTTGGTTTGACATAAATCTCGTCATCAATCTGAGAAACACCATAACGTGGTTTATAATGTCGGTAAAAACTAATGGCAAATAAGTTGTAACTTTCAATTTAAGCACCTGTAATAAACTTCTCCAGCATTTGGATCCTCCGCCGGTTTAGTTATCGATTCCACGAGATAATTGTCCACGTTGGAGGCATTTATATACACCTGTGTCAACAGGGGAAAAAGAACGATATGGTTAGCAAACATTAAAGGCTCAGAAAATTATGAATGTGCATTTATAACATCGAAGCGATACATACTATAACATATTTTACTATACTGCACCCGGTAAAAGCTTTTAATTCATCGTCTACCCAAAAGGACCATTCGTCTGAAGACCACTTAGGATAATCAACAAAGATTGATATCATGCACAACGATGTGGGTCATCGTCCTGAAACTAGAAAGGAATATATCCTCCCGTGATGAAGTATAAGAAAGGAAGATATCCTTCTTTTTACTTCATATATTCAACAACACCATCCAATTGTGGTTTATGTTGATGTATTGCAATCCGATAAGGGATGGCATTTAGATTTATTGCCAAGAACAAAGCAAGTCATGCAGGACTTCTTTGATAGGAGACTGTAGTCAGCTGGAAAGGATAAAATTTCCTAGACACGGAACAGAATCAACCTTGTGTCTATGCTACTAGCCTGGCTGTGACCATAACCTACTTCTTACCCACTCCGAATCTTCATGCTAATCAGAACACATTGAGTGGGCGGCGTCAAAGCAGTCACCCTGTCAAACCAGACCCGCAAGTAACTGAGCCGACACTAGAGTGACTATGCAGGATCCCTCTCAAATTTACCTTATACAAGGTCATTTGCTGCATGTCAGTTGAACCAGAAAGTAAAATTTAAGCCAGGAAGTTAATGAGAAATACTGTACGCTTTTCAGGACTTTTTCAACACGAGCAGGTTGCTTTGCTTGCCAGAATAGGAACCCCAAGATTATTCTTTGGATGAATTCCTTCAGTGTGTTGAACACAAACTTCTGTAACACTGTCTCTTCTTCATTGCTCTTGGGCTGTTCACTTGGATTTTCAAATTGTCCAGCTGAATTTAGTAAAACAACTCCACGAACATGCTGAGCTGATTCAGCTGCTGTCATCAAAGCTGCAAACCCTCCAAGACTGAAGTGCAATATCTTCCATCAACAGTAAGTTCTTAAATTATGAAGATGTAAAAAACCAAATTTAGCATGAGGCTAGAAAAACAAGTCATAGACAGGAAGAACAGGAAATAATTGAAAAGATCATCAATACACCATAGCCAACAATGTAGTACTACAGCCAACAATAGACTATCACAACAAGCCTTAATGTCCCAACCAATTATATACTAATAATTATCAGTCCAACCTACAAAACAGTGGCCTTGCAATAGACATGTGTTATAGGGATTAAATTCAAGATATTGCTCCTCATGGATACGTGTATGAAGATCAACAAATGAGTAGTACTCAAAGCAGCTATTAATTGAAATTTACAGTAAAAGAAGCATTGATAAAAGAGATAGCTAGAAAGGGTCATCCATGGCATTAACAGCAAAAGTAAACTACTTTAGGCAACTCAAGTGCACGGCACTAAGAACAAAAATTAAATGCTGAAGAGATGATTAAACTATTGCAGTTCAAAAATGTTTTGCAGCTCTAGCACCACTAGTTACCTTGGTAGTCCCTACGCATCATACTCACTTCTACTGATGTATTATCCAATGTAAAAGAAAGCAAAAAGGTTGACAGTTATTGAACGAGGATCAGTAATGTTATACAGCACCTAGATGATGACCCACTTTTAGGGTCAGATCATCATTTAGCAAATGTCTTGACTAGTTTTTAACATTGTATTACCTATTTCCAACCAAGATTGCAGGTTCTTTTACTATTTCTTTGAGGAAATCAGACACTTGGTCCTTCCAAACTGTTGCATCATACTCGATAATAGCTTTCTCGCTCCATCCAAAACCTAGCAAATCTAGAGCATAGACCTTATGCTTCTTTGCCAATTCAGGTATGTTGTATCTGCATAAACAGTACAATCAGCATCAACAACAAACACGATAAAACTTAACATGATATGGCAGTACACCATAAATCAAAAGTTTTGCCAGAATGGACAAAGGGTACTTGAATTTGGATTAATGTCCATGGAGTCTAAAATGCATGCATTTAGTCTCTGAGTCATGATAACCAAAATGCAATATGGATTTCTGGCCGAGTATAAGTAGGTGGCTTATATGTAATATGTCGAATCAGATATGGGAAGAAAAAGAAGATACATTTATAATCCATTTTACAATTCTTGTAGATGGCAACCTGGTGTAGCTTTTAAGTTTTATGTTGTGAAATACATATATATTATATTTCCGCCCAATCAGCAATTGGTCAGAACTGCGACTAATAGTAACAATAGTATTGCAACCATCAAGCTTCTACATTTACAGTGAGAAATTTCAGTGCAGATGTCATATTAGCTCAGATCATCAATCTATGTCTGGACAAAACAATGAAATTTCTAGATATCAATGGGTGTGATGTAAAACCAGGCTCTTGTTGTCGGTCAGTAGAAAACATAAATTCTCATCAGAAAGAGAGGAAGAAAAGGCTAACCTCCAATGAAATGCAGAAGCACCAAATCCATGTATAAGAACAACTGGGCGTCCCATTCCTTGTTCTACATAATGTATCTTGCGTCCCTTCCATGTCCAGAAGTTATAGCCATTGGATCTGAAAGGTAACCTATCCATTCCTGGAATATGAAGAAATCCATCAAATAAGGATTTCTACACATCTGATATCACCCATGATAGAATGAATTCCATATGATAAACCACCAAAAGGGGCATCTAAAATCAGTAAAAATTACAAAGATCCATTCAGAATATTTTAGTGCACAGTAAGAGCTCCTTGGTAGTACCCAGTTAGAAGCATCTTTTGAGTAGAATATCCAGTGAAAACACCAAAAGGGAAGTAAATTCGTTCATGATAATGAACAATAGATCGTAACTTGTTGTATCGAAACATGTCAATCACTATTTACAAAATCCTACACACGATGCAGAGAATCCCTAAAACAAAGATCTTCTCAAAAGACTATGATTTGAACGCCTTTTGACATCATCATTGACTCACATCTCAAAATCCAGTATTTTCTCTTTT